AGAAGAAGAGAGAGAGAGAGAGAGAGAGAGAGAGAGAGAGAGAGAGAGAGAGAGTGAGAGTGAGAGAGAGAGACAGAGAAATTGTTAATGTTAAATATTATTATTCTTTACTTTTAGCAATCCGTAAATAAAAATTAGCAATTATTATCCTAAATAAAAGTTAATAATTGTATCAAGAAAGATAATTTTCATGTTAATTATATTTATGTGGACGAATCCTTCTTTACGAATCCTGTTTTCACGGATTCTGGTATATAACTTACAATTAGCAATAACTTATAATCGTAATATATGTATACATATATAAATATATCACTCTTTATTAACATGGATTATTAATATTTTTCTTAAAATCTTATAATTTTTAATATCTTTCTTTGTGCAATTTTTAAATTGGCAAATTACTTTCTGAAACGATACATGGGATTTTAATAGAAAGCGAGAGCGTATTGACTTGGGAATGAAAATAATGAAGAAGATTCACAAAAGGTTCGGCCTATAAATGCTCCCTTTTTCAAAAAAGACAATTCATACTTCATTATAAATCATACCAATGAGAAAAACGATGATATATTTTAAACATGATAAATCGAATTAACAATTGTTAGATTATTTGTATACTTTTCTAGAAATGATAAATTATGGTCGAAAGAGGAAGCATTTGTGGATAAAAATTTTTTTATTATTTTTATTATTATATGAAGATTGCATCAAGAAAATGCTCATCATGTTTAATGAGAAACAAAATAATATCCGAATATTTAATTATCGATGAATATAGCGTGGATTTTTATTAATTACGAAATAAAAAGAAAAGTTAAAAAAGATATTTCGATGATTATACCGCGATAATAATTTCTTTTTTTAAAATAACTGGCAATCTCTTAATATTCTCTTCTTAATGGCCTAATCGATTAGAATTTCATTTATTCATTCGTTCGTTTCTTTATCGTTCGTTTAAGAAAAAAACATTCGATTTTCATAATTAAATTAAAAAGATCATAAAAGAAATACAATCATTCGTAATAGCGATTCTTTTCTTATTACTATGCGATTACTCTTATGTATCTATATGCCATAAACTTATTAGATGTTCCATAGAATAGATTTAAATTTTTGCATTCTCACAAAAAAAAGTGGAAAAAATATCTTTTAACAAAAAAAATTACATAAATTAAAATGCAAAAAAGTTGCGAGGATTATAAACGAAGTTTAACGAAAAGAAACCGATAGGATTAAGATATCCATTTTTTGCTACATTATTGAAATACGAAAAACATTTCAGAGTGTAATAATCGTAAAATATTTTGCTCTGATTTATTATAAAATCAATCTCTTAACATACCTTCCTTAAATTAAATTATCATTCCATATTCCCTCGATACCTTTCCTTTTTCTCCGAAATGCTTATTATTATGTCTACAAATCGAAGAAATAACATAATTTAAGATGTTTGTAAGTATGACGAAAATATGTATAAGAAAGCTTCACCATATAGATAGTTAATGTATTATTACGAAATATAAAGGTACAATTAATAATCGCGATTGAGTTAAACGTCATTCGATTTATGATCGAAGAATCTTATATTCATTTAGCTATAGATGTTACTGTAAATTAATCTTAAATAAACATAATTATGAAAAAGAAAAAATTATTTCTTCAGAAATAATATATTTGAATATATTTTTATGTTTATATTTTACATATATATTTTTATTATTTGAAAAAGATTGAATGATACTTTTTTATTTATATAATATTTTTATGTAATGTGATATAATATTTTTATGAATCTCAGGGTTCCACTTAAAACCATTACACTCTTGATATAAATGACATGAACGCCACCTAACGGTTTACTCTTCCATTTATCGAGCATTTGTAAACATGGCTCCGGTGAGTTTTATATTTGTGAAAAATATAATAATAATTCAGAAATATTTAAAAATTTTTTAAAAATTCATTAAAAACATAAGACAATATACTTTAACCTTTTGTTATGATATAATTATATTTATATTTTTGAAAAGATTATAAAGATATCGTTGGATGTAAACTTCTAACCTAAAAAACATCAATTAATGTCTAACACATGTTAAAGAAAACATAATTTTTTAATTAAAAGAAAATCAAAATGAAGAAATATATATTTTTCAGCCCACTACAAAGAAGTCCAAGGGACCAACCATTAAAAAACAGGCCCTCCGGGGTAAAGGCCAAAAGAAAAAGGTATCCCTTAAGTTCACTATAGACTGTACACATCCTGCAGAAGATAATATTATGGATGTAGCTAATTTCGTAAGTTAATTTTTATTTTCTAATCATATTGTTTAGTTAAATTTCGATATTTTTTAAATTCAAATTTTGAAATTTTATCTTATTATTTAATATGTCATAATTTAACATGCAAATAAAATAGTTAATTTTTTACAGGAAAAATATTTACATGAAAGAATTAAAGTTGCTGGAAAAACAAATAATTTTGGTAACAGTGTTACATTAGAAAGGGATAAGATGAAACTATCTGTTAACAGTGATATCGATTTTTCTAAACGGTGGGTTTTATTATCCAAATAATAGAAACAATATTTAATAATTAATACAACTTATTTAATATTTATTGAATTTGACATTAGTTTTTTTAAAAAAACAACTGATATTTGCACTAATTTAATAATATATTTATGTAGGTATCTCAAATATCTTACAAAAAAATATTTGAAAAAAAATAAATTACGTGATTGGTTACGTGTTGTATCAAAAGACAAAGAAACCTATGAGTTAAGGTACTTCCAGATTAACAGTCAAGAAGATGACGATGAAGAAGATGCAGAATAAAGTTTTAATTGTATGATGCAATTACAGAATTATCTGTACATATTTCTACTAATAAATAATAGGAAAAAATTGGATGCATTTTATGAATAAAAAATTTTGATTTCCTTCATTTCTTTAAAATTTGATTATATTTTATAAATATATTAAAAACTAATTTATTATTATTAAAAAATTAAAACAAAAAAATAATATAATAATTACAAAGATTTATGTATATAATAATACAATACATATAATGTACAATAATATATGTATTATGAAAAGAAAAGAAAATTAAATTTTATTTTTTTTGATTTTAGATAGATATTTGTACAAATTTAAAATTCTTATGAACACAAAGAATTCGAATTTTAAAATTTATTTATTTTATTTAATATTGCTGATCTGAAATATAATAAAAATTTTAATTCAATTTTTTACTTTGAATATTTATATTTTTTTGCGTTTGTTGTTTTACATACATTATTTTTATTACAACATTTTATTATACAGTATTTTAAATATTTTTCTATAATCTTTACAAATGCGTTAAAGACGCTGATTACATAGAGTTGGGAGTATAGAAAAATGCGTCACTAGAAGCGTAGTAGAGAAAAACATAAGTCAGTATTTATCACCAACAAACTCGTATCTATTTAAGGTTCGTTTAGGTCCCCAACAATTCAAATATTTATATTAAAGAACTTTATTTATTTTTATACAGATCAATTTCGTTATGTGATATATGTGAATGTAATTAAATTGGATAAACAAAATATGAAACATTCTATAATAAAAAAATAAGTGCACAAGTGAGTAAAAAATTTGATTAAACGAATAATAAAGAAAGATAGTCTTTTTCTTCTAATATTATATTTACGAAAATTTAAATAAGCGAGAAATTTATTTGCAAATTCTGTCAATTTAATAAATATTAACACTATCGTTTCATTTTTTAATAATATTGTATATTGTATAAAAAAATTCATAGAGACGGTCCTGTTTTATCTATTAAACACATCTGTGAAATCATTTTTCTCCCATTAAATACATATTTCGATAACATATCAAAGCATATTCAAGTTATTTAAATAAATTGCTACTATTATCCGATATCTAAGTACATTTTTCCTTAAATTTCAAAACGGAAACTGAGGGACTATTTTTCGTTAGCGTAGAGTGGAAAAGTAAATTGCAGTGCGCAGACGAACTGACGCACGGTGATTGTTGTGACAGAAGTAGAGAAGAGTATCATCGTATCGTCGTATTTCCAGTTCGGAATCATTGTACAAATCGATAAGAAAAAGAATTTGGTAGCTAAAGAGAAAAAGTAAGTCCATTAAATTGCACGGCTCGTGCAAACGCGCGGGCACGATGAAGTTTCATTACAAAGAAAAACACTCTTTCGAAAGGAGGAAGGTCGAGGGTGAAAAGATTCGACGAAAATATCCCGAAAGGGTTCCTGTGAGTATTTCGTCCGAAAAAGTTAACCATTTTGTTCGTCAAGGGGAATTCATTTTTCTATCCAATAGAATGGACACTATGAAAAAAACATTGATTAAAATTATTTCTTTATGAATAATTAGACTAAATTAATTCGTAGTTAACTGATTCAATCCGCATTTAGAGAATTTCCTGGTCTGGAATAAGCGAAGGTCGACTTTCTACGTCGTATATACTATTATTTCGAGATGATGCAAATTTTTTTTTTTAATTAGATACTAACAATTAAATTTGCCGTTCGTATTATATTTCTTTGTGTGCTCGCCTTGCCATTGCTCGAGTCTATTGATCGTACTATGCTCATATCTATAATTTTTGATTGATAAAATTGAAAAGAAAAAGTATTTCTTCTTCATGTTTGATTTTTGAAAAATTTTAATGTATTAATTTTCATTTTCGTATATAAAATATGAAACATATGAAATTATTTTAAATATTTGAATAAATATCAAATATATATATCAAATATGAGTTTTAAGCATTTTAACAATAGGCCAAGATATAAATATTTTATGGTTCAAATAATAATATGGTTTTGACAAAATAATTAAATATTTTATTTTTATTAAAATATAATATAAAATATAAAATTTGAAATTAAAATTAATAATTTTTATTTAATTGTATTATTTCATTAATAATATTAATAATTAAATTTATATTTCTCAGGTAATTGTTGAAAAGGCTCCAAAAGCAAAAATTAGTGATTTGGATAAACAAAAATATCTAGTACCATCTGATTTGACTGTGGGACAATTCTATTTTTTAATTCGTAAACGAATTCACCTTCGTCCAGAAGATGCTCTATTCTTTTTTGTGAACAACATTATTCCTCCAACAAGTGCTACAATGGGTTCTCTTTATGCAGTAATTATATAATTCTAAACATTATAAATATATATATATGTGTATGTGTATATGCGTATGTATGTATGATGGTGATTGCTATGTGTGCGTATATGTATTAGCTATATTTACTGTAATTTAAATTTTTCATAGGAACATCATGAAGAAGACTTCTTCCTCTACATAGCATACAGCGATGAGAATGTGTATGGACACTAAATTACACAAAAATAAAAAAAAAACATCCGAACAAAAGAGCAGACAACAAAAATTTGCCATCAATAACAACGTAGTCCTTTTAGAAGCTTTTGGAAGTGTTAACAAAATTACATCTTTCAATTATTTGAGTGAAATTTTAAATTTTAGCATCATAAACTAATTTTAACTTTGCTTCCTTAAGATAAATTGGACACGTTCGTCTGCTAAATATACGAACGTTGTATTTTTGATTCCGTCACTCACCGCTAATCGGCGAAAGCTTAGGGAATCAGAATGTAAGAATCAGAGCTATGATTTCTTTATCATATCTAGCCTCATATTATAAAATTGGAAAAGCGATGGAAGAAAAATTTTCTTCATGTTAAAAAAAATAATTAATTAATTCACAATTATTACAAATATATTTACACACATTAACGATAATTTAAAAGTTACTAATATCTAGAATGGTCTTATGATAAATTTATAACTCTGTGTAGATGTTTTATGTGATATAATTTTCTTTTATTTAGGCTAGTATTATTCTATTCACATGATTCAATATTATTTGATCATAACAAAATGGAAAGAACTTGCTGAAAATATGGTGAGGTAAAAATTTGTTGTAACGGCTGGATGTGGGCCAATAAAAAAAATATAAAAATAAATTTTGAGAATGTAATTGTTTCCCTATCTAAAAATTACACATTTCTGAAACTATAAATTCGTGACATCAAGAGAAAACGGTTTGAAATTGGAACTCGTTCATAATTAATATGTTTTCGTCGCGATTCGTTCATTTTTAATATGTTTTTCTCTGAAGTACTGCTTTCTGGGTTATTCAAGTAGAAAATCATCTAGTTAATGCCTTTCTTTTGATGAAAGAAGTTGAAAAAAAAATGGAAATAGGAAACAATGAAACAAATACTTCAATTACAGAAACATACTTTGTTTCTGCTTATAATTTGAATCAAGAAGATAGTAATTGGATTATAACAAATTCATTCATAATTTTTACCATGCAAACGGGTAAAGTTCTAAATTAAATGATGCCAAGGAATGCAACAAAGTTAATTTTTTCATTTATTCAGGTTTCGGTATGTTAGAATCTGGATGTGTTTCTTTAAAAAATGAAGTTAACATTATGATGAAGAATGTTGTCGATATAGTACTTGGTGGTTTAACTTATTGGGCTTTTGGTTTTGCAATGAGTTTTGGAACAGATAAATTAAATAATCCTTTTATTGGTATGGGCGAATTTTTAATAGATCCTTCTTTAGAAGATGAATTTATGGGTCCGAAATGTGCGGCATTTTTATTCCAATTAAGCTTTGCAACCACTTCAACAACTATTGTTAGCGGTGCCATGGCTGAACGGTAATTATGTAAAATATTTTATAATATTTTTTTAGTCTACTTGCATATCATATAATTGCAGATGTAATTTTAAAGCATATTGTTTATTTTCTTTCTTAAATACAATTGTATATTGTGTACCAGCTGGATGGATATGGGGTGATCAGGGTTTTTTGAAAAAATTGGGTGCTGTTGATATTGCTGGTTCAGGGGCAGTTCATCTTGTTGGTGGTAGTTCTGGTAAAATATGAACATATTTTTGCAATAATTTAACAAAATATTTAAAATATTAATTAATATAGCACTTGCATGTGCCATAATGTTGGGACCAAGACTAGGCAGATATGATAATGGAATTGATCCATTGCCTCTTGGATGTCCAGTTAATGCTATTATGGGCTTATTTGTACTCTGGTAAAATAAATAATTAAATCTATAAATAAATTATTTTACAAAGTTTCGATACATTAATGAATAATAATTATATAAGGTGGGGTTGGTTAGCTTTCAACAGTGGTAGCACATATGGTGTCAGTGGACAACGATGGCAATATGCTGCTAGAGCAGCAATTTCTACAATGTTAGCAAGTATGGGAGGTGGTTTAGTTGGTTTAGGCTTTAGCCTAAATGGACCAGATAGAATTGATATTTTGAGTCAAATAAATGGCATTCTTGGTTCATTAGTTGCAATCACAGGTGAGTTTCAATATAGAATAATCAATGTTCATAAAATATTTGTTGCTCTATTAATAACTTTACAGTGTCAGTTAGGTGGTTGTTTCCTTTTTAGAGCCTGGGAATCTATAATTGTTGGAATGATTGGTGCTTTTATTACATGTTTTACTATGCCTTTATTAGATAAAATGCATATTGATGACCCTGTTGGAGCTAGTGCTACACATGGTTTTAATTTTTTTTCTTAATTTTATTAATAGATTTTGGACATTTCTTATTTTATTAATCACTCTTCTATTGATATAGGTGCAAGTGGAATTTGGGGTATTATTGCTATTGGCTTATTTGCAGACAATCCATATCCTCTTAATACTACCAATGGAAGAAAAGGATTATTAAAAGGTATATAATAATAAATTTATTCTATAAAAAGATTGAATTATATAAAAATATGTTTTTCTTTATAGGAGGAGGAGGATATTTGTTAGGTATACAATGTTTAACAGTTGTATGCTTAGCATTTTGGAGTTTTACAGTATCTACTATTTTGCTATGGGTAAATAATAGTAAATAATATATATATATAATATTCACTTATAAAAATTTCTTATTTAATTAATATCTTACTATTATAGTTCATAAATAAAATTATACCAATTAGAATGAGTATTCATGACGAGCTTTTAGGTGCAGATTTAGTAGAACATCGAATACGACATTCACAGGTTTTTATTTTAGTTGTTACATATTTATAATTAAAAATTATGTACATCATGAAATTGATTACATATATTTTTTAGATTGGAATAAGTAGAGCCATGTCTGCTCTTCGAATTTTAGAAAAACATGAATTAACAAATGTTCATCCTGTGGGAATCAATCCAGGTAAGATGCATTCAGTTGAAAAATATTATAAAAATTATTACAAATCGATTGTTACAGGTCATGATACATATATTGAAAAATATAATCGTAAAAATCGCTTTAATTATGGAAAACCATTTTTTCTTGAAAAAAAATTATCAAAGAATTCTCAGTTGAATACAATTACCGATGCTATGACAGATAAAAACAAGCCAAATTTCGCTTGGATAGATTAGAATATTCCTCAAGATTGTAGTAATTTTAAATTTATTAGAAATGTATAAATATATTCATATACATGCTTTTTAATGCTTTCATATTTTACTATTATATCATACAATGTACGCGCAATCTCTGATAAATAATTAAAATCTTACACATATATAAATAAAAATTATAAATGCTAGCATATAGAAAACAATCCTATTGAAAGATCACAGACACTGTAAATACATATCTTGATTAATAATATGGCATCTATACAGAAATTTCTTTCATTATAAATTTCAGATAAAATATTGTTATGAAACATTATTTGTCATTTTATTTAAGATATAATGTTGGACGCTATAATAGGCAGGAATTGCTCCATGAAGATTATATTACATAAATATTCAGAAAATAATAATTATTAATTTTTTATCTAATTCAATATTATCAAATATATACTAATCTTGTACTATAAATGCAAACTACATTTTTTTGTGATTAATTAGACTTATTTTTATAAAATGCTTGATATTTTTTTTAATTGATTGTAATTGAAATTATATGTATAATTTTATATATATATATAAAACATATATTTTTTAAATGAATATATAATTATATAACTATAACTATAGAAAATGAATTTGTCTTTTTTTTTAAATAAATATTTATAGTGAAAATACATTTTAAATTTTAAATTATAAATTTCATAAAATGGCTAAGATTGCATGAATGATATTACAAATATAAAATTTCTTAGCACCTGTAATTTTATGAATTCGTTATAATTACATATTGATTACTGCCCACTGTGATACTTCTGTTGGTAATCCAGAATAATTTTTTACAGCTTCCATAACTTGTTGTGAAGTGAGTAAAAATTTATAATATTGATATTCTTTTTCAACTTTTGAATTCATACCAGTCACTGGCAGTATAAATTCTAAATTCTGTGGAAATATGAATTGTATTACTTTTTATAGATAGAGATAATAGAATAAGAGATAATAAAATAATATTATTTTGTTCTTATGTTATAATTCTTACCTTAATATGTTCAAAAGCTTTCATAATAACAGGCTTTTGAACAGTTTGTATAGAAGAATTTTGATTAGCAAATTTAATGTAACGATTATAAATTGCTTCAAAATTGAATGGCTCTCCATCATAAATTTCTGTTTCATGTTTCATTGATATTATCTAAAATGTATATATTGAATATCAAAAATATATTCAGTATTAAAAAAAAATTATAAATATACTTACTAAACACATTTCTAATACAGATAATCCTTCAAGCATTAATACTTTGTCATCTTGGGAAAACATTTTACTTGCTTCTATAAAATCATTTATTTCTAATCTTTGATGTTTCTCTGATAATGAAGAAACAGTCATTGCCAGAAAATTTCTAAAACTTCTTTCACTTACATCAATTTGATACATTTTTTTTAATAGATTCACCATAGTAACATTACTAACTAAATTTTTTATGTAATCATTCCATACAGACCCAAATTGTGGTTCTATTGTACAATCATCATATTGATGCTCTATCCTATTTACATTCTCATCATCAGGAAGACTTAAAAGACGTTGAAAAAGTTCTAAACGATCATCAAAAGCAGATGATGGTTGTTCTGATGATGATATATCTCCAGGAAATAAAAATATTTGCCGATGAGAAAATCTTGATTTAACTCTTTTTTCTAAGAGTTCTATAACATCTAATCTACAAGTCATTCCTATTACACATACTGGTGCCTGAAAATGAAAATTTAATTGATTTTTAAGTAAATTTAAGTAAATCAATTTTAAGTTAATACAATATATTACACTTACTTGTGCAGATTGAGCAATATCAAACAGATTATACAAGAGAGTTTGATTATGATGTTCACAAAATAAATCAAACTCATCTAATATGAAAATAACTGGTTTGGAAGACTTCTTATCACCTGATTTTAAACAATCAAGTAAAAAAGATAAATTTTCAGCAAATGTGCCAAAAACTTTACCATCAACGACATTTTCTAATTGCATTTGACGTGTAGCATCCTTTAAAGCTAAACGATCATCAGTATGAACAAGACCATTAAGATTTACTATCAATGCATTTTCTTTAAAACTTTTCACATATGATAATTCTTTTAAAACACTATTTATTAGCTAAAAAAATAAGAATATGTATAAAGAAATCAAATATGATTTTATGAAACTAATAATTAGGACATACTGTTGTTTTTCCACTACCCCTAGGTCCAATTAGTAAAACGGAATTACTTTCACCCATATCTACTGTTCTTTTTAATAATTCTAATATGTGCATTCTTTCTTTAACATAATGTCTAAACTTTGTTTCAGGACACATAATTTTACGCTTTAAATATTTCCTAGTTAATAGTATCATATTATCTTGAAAGTCAATTGCCATATTTTTTTTTTTATTCATATTGATTTGCCTGAAACGCGCCAAAAATTTATATTAATTTCTTATCAAATTTATTTTATATAAATTAAAATATAATTACACAGCAAATTTATTTTATTAATTATTTATGATTTCAAGTATGTTACAATTTTACATAGACTTAAAATATAATTTGACAATCGTTTAGCATTCCTGATTCTTAGTATAATATAACCTATTAATTATAATGAAAGATGTGTACGATATTTTAAGTATGTATTTATTTTTGGATTTAACTTACTTAAATAAATTCGATTTCAAATAGCTGAATAGAAAATCAAAATAGTATTTTCACAGATTCTAATCCTTAAATAACATTAAATATTTAAGTTACAGAAGTACTAAAACCAGATTGTTTACAAAACAAATATGGAAGACGCAGAATCCAAAACAGATAAGAAAAATTGTACGTTCTTATTTAAAAGAAGGAAAATTCGAAGCACTGCAGCTAGAAAACGTAAAATAAGGAATGACGAAAATGGTAACGTATACTTAAAGAATATCAGATTTTTCTTCTCTTATCTTACTAAATTTATAATTTCATTATATAAACTCGATTAGTATAGTCTATAGGTTAAGTTTAATGTCTATAAATACTAACTTTTTTTATATTTTTAAACAGAAAGTAGTGAAGATGAAACTACAGTAATTAGGAAGGAAAAGAAGCAGGATGATAATAATCTTATGAAACAAAGTGTAAGATGGACAATCTTTTCCAAAATTATACTTATAATATTTTTTAAAATATAATAAAACTAGTTATAATACCTAATGAAATTTGAGTTAATAAAACTGGAAACATGGTGTAAATATAGCTCTTTACAGACTAATACAAGGAAATTAAAAGATCAACAACAAAAAATTAACAATGACAGCAGTGAAGAAGAAAGTATTACAGTATCTTACAAGAGTTCTAGAACACCTATGCCAGCAGGACCAAGCGATCAAGGAGCAACAGCAATTTTAGAAACAGAGACAGAAAAGGATAAGGATGCTCAAGCTTTATTTGAAAAAGCTCAAAAAATAAATGAGGTACATAATGCAATAATGGAAAAGTGTGCTAAAATGAACATTATAAAATATAATATTTTTTTAGGAACTTGAAGGAAAAGAAGATGATAAAATATATAGGGGTCTGAATAATTATATTCAATATTACAAAAAGAAAGATACAGCTGCTGGAAATGCTTCTAGTGGTATGGTACGTAAAGGGCCAATCAGAGCACCATCTAATCTTAGAGCAACTGTAAGATGGGATTATCAACCAGATATATGTAAAGATTATAAAGAAACTGGTTTCTGTGGTTTTGGAGGTAAATAGAATTAAAATTCTCTTAATTTATTAAATTCTCGTTTATTTTTCTTATTTACTTATTTATTTTTATTTTCAGATAGTTGTAAGTTTCTTCATGATCGTTCAGATTACAAATTGGGTTGGCAACTAGAAAGAGAAGCTGCTACAGGAGAATATAATAATAGTGGAGACGAAGATGATAAAAAATACGAAATTGACAGTGATGAAGAAACATTACCATTCAAATGTTTCATTTGTCGCAATAGTTTTACCGACCCTGTGGTTACAAAGTATATACTATAATTCTATATTTTAAATTTAATTAGATACAAAATGTATAAGATGAATTTTTTTTCAGATGTAAACATTATTTCTGTGAAAAATGTGCTTTAGATCAATATAAAAAAAGTACAAGGTGCTACATATGTAATGTGCAAACCAATGGCGTATTTAATCCAGCCAAGGAGTTAATTGCGCGAACGAAGATAGAAGAGAAAGTGAGAATTGTAGATGATGAAATTTCTGATGAATAAAATAAAGCACATATATTGTTTATTTTTAAAATAATTATATTTCTTTCCGAGCAATTACATTTTCTTTTGTGTAAATAAATTTATAAACTTTGTTAAACGAAGAAAATTCAATTTCTATTAGATATATCTGAATTAAAAAAAAATTTTTATATAGGAATTTTTTTTTTCTAAAATAAGTTTTAATTTAATTTTAATTTAATTTACGAAATAAAATTTACGAAAAGAGTAAATATTTATATTCTAAAGTTTTCATCCATAAAAATTGATTATAATTTAATCAAAAAATTAAAAGCAATAAGAAGATAGATTGACAACCCTTGCTAATAAAAAATCCAGATTTGGAAGATCTTCATGTATGAGCCGTTCTACAAACACTCGTCGAGTTGACGTCGAACAAGGGTCGAGGAGAAATATAGTGGTGGTTTCGTTATATATTCGTTATAGAGCGAAGGTGATTCTAACTGGTCGTAGTTGTTCTCTCAATCGATACACGCGCAGTGTTGTTTGTCTCATACTATGGAAATGTTACCAAAGCTGCTTGTTTCTCATGAACATTAAAAAAACATCTAACTCCGAGATATTACAAAATCATTTCGATTAAAGATATTAATCGAAAAATGTGAAGTTATAGAAATATAAAGAAATTAGAAAACAAAGTAATTATTGCCAAAAAAGTTTGAGAGTTCTCGTATTTTCGACTTGTCGTCCTTTCATTGATTTCTAAGATATTAACACCGCGCGCAAAAATCTAAAGGTGTAAGGTGTCATATGAAAATAAAACCGATATGAGAGTATATTTTTCATAATTAATCATAAAGACAAAAGTGTGATATTTTTTTTTGCAAGATACGTTTTGTGAAAATTGTCGACTTGAATATAATTATTATTAGCTGAGATAATGCTATATTAATCAAATATCACAAAATTATAATTGAGTTATAATCAGTCAAATTCTGCAAGTAATCTACTTTTGACTGAATGAAATTCCAATTGAACAGTAATATTATTCTAGCAATACTCTGCTGTCAATTCTATCTTAAGATATATTATTATTCTATAAGGTGATACATTTAAACATGACAAGCTGTGCTTTACATGCATGATGATGATGTAAACGCGGTAAACAGCTGTTATTACAGTTTCTTCAGAAACAACTGATACGATAACATCGATAGTGACTACTTATCGAACCTGCAAAATTATCCTCTTTTGTATTACAAGTGTATCTATCATCAACGAAAATATAACTTTGATCTTAAATAAAATTGTCCAGAACAATCAATAATTGATGTCTTGGATTGAATGTATTAATTGTCGTTGAACGACACATTTAAAAAATCGAAATGGAAATACTTGCTTGTAGAAGAAACGTGAAGAAGGTGTTACGTTTCACAAAAATCTTTTATTAACCAGGTACGAAAAAATATATTACATTATTAAAATAAGTTATTTTAACATACAAATATTTTATATTTAATATCGAAAATAATAATCATATATTTCTACTGAAATTTATATAGAAGAATATATACGAATCTTATATATATCTTCTAATTAACGTTAATCATCAATTAAATATAGTTATCATGCGCGTGTTGAAGTCTATACGTATTATAATGATTGTCATTACGCACGGATGTCGACGTTTCCATACGAATATCAAAGTAAAGCGAACAGGGTGCTTGCGTCAGTCAGCCAGAGTCAGAGACTGATCACGGCATCCGACGAGTCTCGCAAAATTTCTGTTATGCATTACGAAAGCTATGGAAATTTAACGAGTACACATATACGTTACCAGACCACGTGCCATTTCTGTTTCTTATCTGTTAGCTACATTACAATACAACATTCCCATAACATAATCGTTATATTTATCATACTAAGTGACTTTATTTCAGTGTATAAAATCATTTTGACAAATGATAATCAATTCATTAGAAAATATACATATATTTATATTCATCGTATTATAAGACGTGTGCAATTCAATGTAAAAAATTGAAAAGAATACAAAGACAAACAGGAACGTGGATATTTTATTTTTTCGTTTTTTATATTGGTAAGAAAATTAAATGATTTTCTTTTTCTTTTTTTTTTTAATTTGTTTGAAATTGTTTTGTCTATTTCGTTTTTATATATACACGTTGTGTAAATTGAATGTATATGTAGGCATTGTCTGCTTTATCACATGAAAGTGTTGATAAATATTTATTTTTCGCGAACATCTTGTAATCTGAATATTCGTTAATTTCTTATTGCATCAAACATTTTTTTTTTTCGAATTTTAAGAAGAAAATATTTTCTTATAATAATTATACAATAAATATTAAATAAGAGTATATGTTAAAAACAATACTATTATCGATCGAGTGATCAGAATATGAAAATAAACATATATTATTTGTATTATATTTTGTTTTTCAATGATATTTACTATGTGATTACTTTATTCACTGTATATTCACATATATCTGATTTTTATTTTATGTAGCTATGAAACTATGAAAATTAATTAATTCATTAATAAGTTATAGTTAATAAACAGTAAAAAAGTTTTTCTCATTTTTATCGATTTATTATCTATCGATGAGAGAAATAAATGAAAACAAAATTAAAAATAAATAAAGAGAGAAATATATTGCATTTACTATGATAAATAAAAAGAAATAAGGAAAAAACGAGAAAAATGTCAAAGAAGAAACATAAAAGGTTGCGGAAACGCAAACTCTGTTATACCTAACAATCTCCACCTCGTTGATGCAAGGTTGACACGTGTAATTGTGTATATTTAATAAAGCTACATACACACCCTATACACGAGCTTTATTCGTAGGCGTTTATGATCAACTTATATGAGTGAACATGAATCGATAAATTAACATGCCATCATGTGTGTCTGATGACACGTTCCAAGGCTTGTAACTGTAATAATAAATTCCACAAAAATACATGCTTCAATGAAATCTTTAATGACGTTACATTGACGCAAGATGAATATTATTACGTATAGATAAGATTTTTCAAACATTCTCGAAAAGATTCTTATACCTCAATAATAATTTCTTAAATTATAAAGTTATAAAAATAATAGAATATTCTTCTATATATATTCTATGTTAAAATATATTTCTTTAAATATTCTTAAAAGAAAAAAGATATCACTAATTTTTCACAGAATTATTAATAAATAATTTTAAAAAGAATTCTAGAACAATGATTTTCAATTTTAATAATCAAATGCTTATTATACATTTTAATAATAATATAATAATATAATAATAATATAATAATATTAATATAATAGCAGAGAAAAAAATTTGTGAAAAAAAATTTCAACTTTACATATTTTATACTTGTTGACTCTTGTTGATCGTGCTGGTCATTGATGATGTTGCAGATGGTTTGTGGCAGTGATGCCCTCGTCGGAGGAGGAAAGCCAGTGGCTTGTTGGCAGCGGGGGTGGTCTTGCATCTTCCGGTGGTGGCACGATATCCGGAACTGGAGAACGTACGTTAAATATTAGAGGAGGATTATATACTGAAGAGATGACGACTCAACCAACGAACACGAACACTGCAAATGTGAACACTGGTTCAGCCGATTCTGCTGAACATGATCTTATTGACTCCACTGCGGATGCAACACTTTTAGCACAATTTCACGAAGATGCTATCAAACAGGTGTGTTATCCTATTTTCGTTTCATTTTTTTAACTTCAAACATATATATTAGTGTTTATATTAAAATGTTTATATTAAAATGAGTAAAGTGTTTATATTAAAATGAATTTAGTTTCAGTTGAATATAATTCTAAAGGTTTTTTTTAGAAAAAACAATTTTTAGAAAAATTATTTTATTATAAATTTTATTTTTTATATTTAACTATTTATATAAACTCTTAGAATGTTTATTTGTAGTTTTTACATTTAATTACTTATAAAATGTATAATATTACTTATAAAAATCTAAGAAAAAAAGAGAAAAGATACCATTATATCATATATTCATTTTATATATTGGCAATAAAAATTAATTTTATGCACATTGCAAATAATAAAATTAATAAAATATTGCAAAATTCTAAAAATACTAACAGCTGTATCAAAGTTCTTACTTAATTAAAATTTAAATTACATCGCAAGCCAATTGCGATTGTCGAATTATCGATTATCGATCAATAGTTTTTAAAATGCTTTTTTAAAGCGCGAAATTGATTATAAATCAATGAATTTATATAAATTTAAAATCTATTTTCACATTAGCTATTATAGCTTCTTCGACATATCGAAATGAAATATTAAATTTTGATTAATCGAATAACAAAAACATAACCTATAGTAAATGGCGTCCTTTTTATTCAAGTTATTTTTTTTAGTTCCTTAATTACCTTTTCACTGCCAGTGTTTTAGATTTTTTTAAAGTGTCAATATGGATGAAGTTTTAGATGAATCAATTGTAAAAACAAAATATGAATCAAGAGAGATACCAGGCTATCTAAATGATTTCCCAGTAAATAGATTTTCTATAATTTATATTTTGAAGGTTATATTGCTATACATGTATATTTTTATAAAATATATAAATGTATAGCAATTATTTATCATTTATATTGCTTAAATAAAATTATATTTAATAAACAATAATGCCTGATTATTTATTATCTTATATTGTATTATATGTAAATTGTTAATTATTTTTCAGGCTGGTGTTGGTTACTTCCAATTATTAGCTGCTCTATGCACAGGTTTGAGTCTTGCAGCAGATACTGTTGAATTTTTTGTTGTACCATATATTTTACCAAGTGCTGAAGTTGAACTTTGCATTGAGGACAATGAAAAAGGATGGCTCAGTTAGTTTTTATTTTACTTTGTATAATATATTTTTAATGTAATAATTATTCTTATGCTCTTTTCTTTTAGGTAATATTACTTTAATGGGCCTTGCATTAGGTGGACTATTTTGGGGTGGTTTGGGAGATAGAATTGGTAGACGAAGATCTTTATTATCTGCAATGGCTGTTCATGCTTTATTTAGTGGTGTTGCAACTTTTATGCCAACTTATGGAACTTTTATGTGTGCTAGATTTTGTTCTGCAATTGGGTAAGAAATTTTTTTTCTTTTTATATTTAAATAAATTTTAAATTCATAAAAAAAAAATTACATTTTATTTCATTTTATTTCACAGAGTAGGAGGATCTTTACCATTAGCATTTACATACCTCGCAGAATGTTGTCCAAGATTAAGCAGAAGTAGATGGGTTGGTTTATTAGTAGCAGCAGGAGCATTGGGAGGTGTATATGCAGCTCTTCTAGCATGGGTAGTAGTTCCTACAACTGGAGAAATGGTAGTTCTTGAAAATAAAGAACATTTCAGTGCTTGGCATCGTTTTCTTTTACTTTGCTGTTTACCTGCATTATGTTCTACTATTGGGCTTATTTTTCTACCAGAAAGTCCAAGATATTTGGTAGAGGTTGGTAGAGATGTGGAGGCAATGATGGTTTACCAGGTATTTTTTGTTATATATATTTGTATTTAAAAAAATTTTTTTTATATCTAAGATATTATATTTTTTTAGAAAATATATAAAAAAAATAATACGCGGAAAGGTGCAACAGGTGCACAATATCAACTTTCTGAATTAGAGCTTCCAACTAAAAGGCCTCGTGGTTTAGCACCTCCATCTCCTAGTAATCATACTAGTGTTTTGGCTGATATAATTTATTCCATTGAGATGGTATGAATATATGTATTTTTTTATTAAATATAATTTACAAAATTTAATATACCATTAATTTTTTACATTTAATTAACATTTAATTTTTCTTAAATTTTCAGTTCTGGAATTCCTTTTTAGAATTATTTGTGTCGCCTCATTTGCGCGTCACAGTAGTGCTTATAATTATTTGGTCAACTGTATCATTTGGGTATGTACTTTTATTAAATATTTCATTTATCTTTTATTTTTCAATATTCTGATTTTATTTATTTTTTTTCAGATTATATGGTCTTATGGTATGGTGTCCCGAATATCTTAAACTTTTGCGTGCTACAGAATATAAAGCTCATAAAGTTCTATTTCATGATGAAATATACAAAGGAAAAACATTCAATGGTTCTTTAGAAAATTGTCAATATAAAGATTCAACATTTTTGAATTGCAAGTAAGTAGAGAAAAAGTATATAAAATTAAACCTGGTTTTATAACAGAATTTTTATTTCAGATTCAGTAAAATGGTATTCAGTCATGTAGATTTCGATAATTGTACTTTTCAATCTGTAGAATTTAATAACATAAAATCTAGTAAAACTCATTTTACACACAGTATTATTGTGCATTCAAAGTATGTATTTAAAATGACAATATTTGATGTTTTTTTTAAATGTAAAATATATATGATTATCTATTCTTCTAGATTTGTAGATACAGATCTATCTGCACAAGTTTTTACAAATTGTACACTTGAAAATAATACAGAATTAAGTTTAAGAGGACCGTGTCCGACTCTCGATTTGGATTATAATATTTACATAGAAGAAGCATTACATGGTCATCTTGTTGCTCAATTATCTTTTGTACCTGCTGCTGCTTTAGCAGGGCTAGCATTAACTGTGTTTCAACGGCCAAAGATGATTGGTATTTCATTATTTTTCTCCTCAATAGCTGCTTTATGTTTAATTTTAGTGGGCACAAATAGTTCTGCAGTGCTTGGTTTTGAAGGTGGTTTTATAGCAGTTTTTGCTATTGCTTGGACATCTCTTACATTGGTTACAATTGAGAGCTTCCCAACCCATTTAAGGTAAATTTCGTTTTGACTTTTATTTCATTAAAGAAAATTAAAAAAAAAAATTAATAGTAAGGTAATATTAATTTTTACAGGTGTACTGGTTCGGTTTTATAGCAGGCGTCATAAGAATATGTGGTTTAATAGGAACTACAACTTATAAAACTTTAGTTAGCGCACCTCTTATTGCGCCTGCATTGCTAACCGCATTACCGTTATTAGTAGCTAGTGTTGCAACATTCAAATTGCCTCATACACATACAGTTTTCTTGTAAGGATATTATGAGTAAGTGAAAAAAAAAACAGAGATGTATCATATAAAAGACGTTTTTAATCTTTTAATAGTTTCATTTGATATTCTTATATGATATAAAAAATTTCGTGAGAATGTTATTAAATCTAAAAGTTCAATTTTTATTAGGAATAATTGGACAAACATTATAAAATGAAATGTTTTCGACAAATTCTTAAATTTATAAATTTAATAATTATTTTTCTTTTGAAGTGTGACTTCGTACAAAGTGGCATATCCTAAATTACTAAATGAAACGGTAAATCGTAATTTACATAAAAATTTGACTATATTAAGCGCACAGAGGTTCAAAATTAACTATCTTGTACGCTACGATATGGATTTTCTATAAAATTTTAATATGTGTGTTTTAAATGCTGTTAAAGGCAATTGTTATAGTAGAAGAATCTTAGAAAAAAGTAAAAAGTATATGGAGATTTAATATTTAAATCATATTAGATGAAATTTCATGTAAAACTTATACTCCAAGATTTTATTCCATTTAACATCAAAGTCATTGTTCGATTCATTCTTCATAAAAAAAAAGACGTATAATGCACATATATTTATAAAGTTATTTTAATAAGGCAATAGCCATGAAACGTGTCAATTTTAATGGATGAAAAAAAAGTGAAATTTTTCATCCATATTGATACGTCAAAATATAACAAAAAATTAAACACTAGGAAATTTTGCTTATTAAAAATGCATTTGAATATTTGGAATAGAAAAATAGAGAATGTTATTTATAGTGTGTATTTTTTTGTTTACAACTAGATTAGATAGACTATGCATGATTCCAAAATTATTACATTTTAAGTATTTCAATTGAAAAAGTTTGCCAAGGACAGTATCGTGAAAATTTTTATATTTACAATTGCTAAATATGCTTTTGCTATTTGAAAAATTAAAAATATATGTATACATATACATATACGTTTACATATTCTAAGAGAATAGATAGGGAACCTCGAATCGAGTAACAAATTCTTTCTACTGTGAAAGAAAGGTAATCAAGCAAAGTTATATTCAGTATACTTTTGCTTTTTAAAAATTAACTAGCTTATATTTACTCTTAATATTAGATTTGACTAAAAAGCATTATGCAATCCATGTAAATGCTGCCGTTCGTAAATTCCCTCAAAACTAAAGAGTTGGAATCGAGAGATGGAAGCTTTAGCTTCGTTTATTATAAATTTGAGAGATTATCGTCTCTAGTCAACTTTTAATCATGTTTAAGCTTATAAAATGCGAATAAACTTTAAAAAAAAAACGCGTCAATCTTTCTGATACTTTCAAACGAAGTAGATGACATTATTTTCCACAAAAAGAATATATACTATCATCTTATTTATAAAACTTGCTAATTGCATTTTGCAATCTATACTTGGCTAGAATTTCATTGTTATTGCGGAAAAGAAACCGTGATAACATGCCAAAGCTAAAAAAAGTACTGGTTCCTCAGAACGGATGACTATTTTTAGGCAATAAGAATATAAAATAAGTTTTATGATATGATTATTGAAATATCTCATTCTTATATATTGAAACTTAAAATATGTATATTACTAAGTATTTAAGGAAATTTATTAGTGAGATAAAAACAAACTGCTGTTGGCAAACTTAATCATATAAAAATTTACGTCCCATCATGGTTAGTGAATTTTTCATATCAAATTGTTGATATCTAATTTAAAAATAGAAAAAAAAAGATGTTAATATTATGAATCGAGTGCTATGGCTAGTGTTATTTAAAAAGAAGTAGAAACGAGTTGAAATTATTTTATTATTCGCACAAGTTTCCATATAATAATTCTATTTTTTTATTAAAAAAAATTATAACGTAATGATTTTAATATTTAAAAAAAATTGTTCGTTTCTACTTCTGTAAATTGTATTTATGAATTTGACAATGAAACAAGTCTGTGCTAGCATTATAAGTTATAAAGATAATCACTATGAATGAAAATATTGGCTCTTTCTTTTTTTTTTTCAAACCAATCAAAATCAATAGATTTTAATAATAAATATTATCATAAAAGGTCTCTAGAAATTTTGTTTTAAATAAATTATTTTAAATTGCTGGCACACGCAGTTTCATTTAATTAAATCGTACTGCTACAATATTAAATTTATCGTCGTAGATAATATATTTTAATCGACATATCACTTATGAACGAACACTTTAGATTAATAGGCTTTAATTAGAATAAACGTATTTAGAAGTGTACCAGGAATCATAAAAGATTAAATTTCAAAAATTAATAAAATAGCAGTATATATATATATATATATATATATATAATAAGAAGCTG